ACGGACAGCGGGCATTGCGTCCTGTCCCTCCCCCCGCCTGCCCGTCCCTCCCCCTTTTCCTGCCCCCTTCGTCCCTTAACCACCACGCTGCTCAACCGCAGACAGGCCTTTCATTTCAACACAGCAACCGTTGCTGCTCTGCTTGCTTCGTTGGCGAGCACTACCCCACCCCACTCCAACCATACGAAGCACTGCAGTGATTCCGGTGTAAATAGTCTGTGTGCTGTGCGCGTGCCCCACAAGACCGGCAAGAAATGTGCACGAAGGACCGCAACTCGCACTTTGTTCTCTCGGCGTTTTTCCGAACCCGCACAACAGATCGCTACGCATCTTACATGAAACATAAAAGCTCAACCAAAAACATTTCTACAGAAAGATGTTTTTTGTTCTGCACACTATTTCTTTTAACGTTTCGATTCGTTGTTTTCCCATCCAGCCATGTATGCATGCATGCGTACCTACTTGGTGTCTGCCCTCTTTGCTGTACTACATCTTGCCGAGTCGCTGCTTACGACAGTAGATTTGTACTGAAACCATCACCGCTCTCACCTCGAAAACGCTGGGAGGCTTCTTCGACACGAGCGACGCCGCCAGGTTGTGCAGCTCCGGCGTGTAGTGTTGCGCCATGAACGCTAGCGATTCCCCCCGGGAGGCGGCGGTGACGGGATGTCGGCACGCCAGCGCTAGGATGAGGCTTCCCAGGTCCACCATGTCTTGCCGCTGCAGCTCGGAGACCTGCACAAGCGCGCGGGGTTGCAAAAAAAGCAAACCACGCCGGACGACGAAAGTATCGCATCACGCACTTAACCGAAGGCAAAGACTGATGTTGATTGTTCGTGTTGGTGCTGCTGTACAAAATTTCACTGTACAGTTTGCATACAATCGTCTTCCAGTATTTCCCTTGGAGTCACCCTGCCTGCCTGCCTGCCTGAATGAACACGACACGCTAGAATGCGCTACGCCGAACCAGACCTCGACACCCCGGCCACAAATGCCACAGCTTTTGTCACAACCCCAAAGTGTGCACGGCAGACAACGGCGCAAGAGTCAAACTCGGGCCATTTCTTATTGCACGCAAAACGTGGTTGTTCACAAAGAGACCGTGTCCGTATCAAAACCTGACCCATTCTCGTCGCGACTAAACGCGTTGGTAGACCGTGTCCGAGTCAAAACTGACCGTTTCTCAACGCAAGTAAAAGTGGTCGTTCCTTAAGAGATCGTGTCCCACCCCACCCCACTCTGACAAACCCCGCAAACCCCCAACAGCAACAGCAACAACAGCAACAACAGCAACAACAGCAGCAACAGCAACAACAGCAACAACAGCAGCAACTCTTGCCTGCTTGCGCGTCTCGTACTCCAGGACGTCCAGGCAGCCGACCCAGTTCACCCGCACCCGGTCTCCGACAAGGCAGTACAGCACGCGGCTCGGGTGGACGTTGCGGAGCGCCGCCCCGGCCGCGTGGGTCGCCCGCAGCGCGCTCAGCAGCTGGCACATGAGGCGCCACAGGAGGCCCTCCGAGAGAAGCCCGCCCTGCCTCTGGATGAACCGCTCGGACAGGGTCTCCGCTCCCGGGTGGAAGTCGGACACAAAGAAGAGAGCGTTGCGATGGAGGAACGCCTGTGGCATTTGTTTTTTTATTGACACCGGTGTGTGTGTGTGTGTGGGGGGGGGGGGGGG